GGCCAGTCAGCAGATCACAGCCATCAGACAGGATTAATCTCTCCTGCTACACAAACATTTGTGAAAGAATGGGTCGCTCTCAGGAGCTCAGTGAATTCAAGCGTGGTACCGTGATAGGTTGTCACCTGTGCAATAAGTCCATCCATGAAATTTCCTTGCTACTAAAATATTCCACGGTCAACTGTTAGTGGTATTATAACAAAGTGGAAGCAACTGGGAACAACAGTAACTTAGCCACAAAGTGGTAGGCCACGTAAAATGACAGACCGGGGTCACCGCATGCTGAAGTGCACAGTGCACAGAAGATGCCAACTGTCAATAGCTAAAGACCTCCAAACTTCATGTGGCCTTCAGATTAGCACAACAACAATGCATAGAGAGCTTCATGGAATTGGTTTCTGTGGCTGAGCAGCTGCATCCAAGCCTTACATCACCAAGTGCAATGCAAAGCGTCAGATGCAGTGCTGTAAAACATGCCATCACTGGACTCTAGAGCAGTGGAGACGTGTTCTCTGGAGTGACCAATCACGCTTCTCTGTCTAACAATCTGATGGACGTTTCTGGGTTTGACAGTTGCCAGGAGAACAGTACTATCCTGACTGCATTGTGCCAAGTGTAAAGTTTGGTGGAAGGGGGCTTATGGTGTGGGGTTGTTCTTCAGGGGTTGGGCCTGGCCCCTTAGTTCCAGTGAAGGGAACTTTTAAGGTTACCAAGATATTTTGGACAATTTCATGCTCCAAATTTTGTGGGAACAGTTTGGGGATGGCACCTTCCTGTTCGAAAAAGACAGCCCACCAATGCACAAAGCAATGTCCATGGATGGAGCGAGTTTGGGGTGGAGGAACTTGACTGGCCTGCACAGAGTCTTGACCTCAACCTGATAGAACACCTTTGGGAAGAATTCGAAAGGAGACGGCAAGCCAGGCCTTCTTGTCCGACATCAGTGCCTGACCTCACAAATTCATTTCTGGAAGAATGTTAAACATTCCCATAGACACACTCCTAGTGGACAGCCTTCCCAGAATAATTGAAGCTGTTATAGCTGCAAAAGGTTGGCCAACTCAATATTGAACTATATGGACTAACACTTGGATGCTATTAAAGTTCATGTGCGTGTAAAGGCATCCCAATACTTTTGGCAATATATATATATATATATATATACTGTATATATATATTTATATATACACACATACATATATATTTATATATACACACATACACATTACTTTTGGTCCCTTAACAAGTGGGAAGCACATATGCAAACTGTTGTAATTCCTACACCGTTCATCTGATTTGGATGTAAATACCCTCAAATTAAAGCTGACAGTCTGCAGTTAAAGCACATCTTGTTTGTTTCATTTCAAATCCACTGTGGTGGTGTATAGAGCCAAACATGTTAGAATTGTGTTGATGTCCCAATATTTATGGACCTGACTGTGTATATATATATATATATATATATATATATATATATATATATATATATAGTAACTAATCACCTTTAATTTCTAACAAATATTTTATGTTCTTCTTTTCAGAAAATGAAGCTAAAAATGATGACAAATATTGAAATTAAGAAGCCATTTAAATGTGTTGAAGTTGATTTCGCCTATGGTGGTAAGAAGATTTTCCCTGCACAAATTGCTTTATCATAACAGCATTATTGTTATTATCAATATCAGAAACAAGACTCAATATCATAAATATCCATGCAACATCTGCCTTTCTATTGTTCTATAAACACCAGGACATGACAGTCATATAAGGCCTAGCATTCCTAGCAAAACAGAGAGGACCCGAACATATTTCCCAGAAACATGGATATGGGGAATGATAACTGTGGGGTAAGCAGATGTCAAAATTGTAAAAATATTTATCACTCTCCATTTAAAAAAATGAAATTTAACTTTGCTGGTCCATAATAAAATTGTGCTCCAGTTGGGTCAGGTTCTTAATTCAGTTTCAAGCAGTGAACTTTAGACCATCAATATGATTTTTTTTTAACAAATTCAGCAAAGAGAAAATAAAAGGATTACATTATTTTTAAACTAACTATTCATGTCAGCTGAAACATGTTAAAGTCATTTCAAAAGTATTTTTTAACATTGGAAATCTATAGCTTTCATCTAAATAATACTTGGATCATCCTTGTTCAGGCACTTCCTGTTATAGGGTAACAAAGTTCTGTCCCTGTCTCCCAATTGTACTTTGTGTTTTCATCCTGTCACATACCAAAAGATCCTATATGCAATGCAATCAGAGCAAAAATCCAGTGTATATATGGGTTTTATCATTAGAAACCTGTTTAGATGCCATGCTATATAAAATTGTATGTGCTTCCTAACCATGACCACAGCAGGCATATATGAGTATCTGCACTGTAATACAGCCACCCCTGCATCTAATATGCCTTTCTTACTTTAACTGTGTTTTGTAACAGTTTTCTTAATTACACCACTTCACACTTCCTGTGATTTGGTTTCTACAAGATTTGCATGCAAAATCCCTAAATCCCAGATAGACCCAAAAAGTCACATTTTTATTATAAGCATCATACCCAGGGCCATGGGCAAGGGGGTACCACCAGTCCTGCTGTACGGGGCCCAGGCCACCAGGGGGTCAGCTGGGTGAGTTGGATGTGGTCAAGGAGGGTGATCGGCATGGCAAGGGGGGGGGATTACTGGAACCAATCCCCTGTGTGTGTCTCTGCAGAAGAGAGCTGAAATCTGGCTTTTTCTCCTCTCCCTCCCACTGGCTTTCAGCTTCTGCAAAGAGAGAGCCATACAAGGGATCGGTTCCAGTAATTGCCCAACCCCCTGCCACACCCATCACCCTCCCTTTACACCATATGTTTACCCCTGCTCCCCAGGCACACCTGTGTTCTCCCACCCCTGCAGAGCTTCCCTCCTTTCCTTTCTATGGGCAGCTGAAGGCGCACAATAGGATCCTTCAGGATGGAAAGTGGGGGGAGGATCCAGTAAATTTCTTTTCAGAATGAACACAATGAGTGATTGGTGCCAATCAATTACTGTGTTCATTCACAACTGAAGCATAGTAAACTGTTTTTTTTTAGGGGAGGGCTGTCAGGTTAGCTGCATGGGGCCCTGTGGTTTGTAACAGCAGCCCTGACCATACCACTTAGCTGCTGTACCCATAGCAAACCACTCTTATTAGTAAATTAACCACAGATACACTATAGCCTGTACAGTTCTGTCTGTGCAGCACATAGTGTAAGAAAGTAGCGAAAATACAATTGTCTTGTGAGTGCACAATTATTGTTCCGACTAACATCATATCTTTTACTATTTCTAGTCTATTCACTTTTTTACATAGACACTATGGGGGGGGGGGATTTACTAAAACTGGTGTACCCAGAATGTGGTGCAGCTGTGCATAGTAACCAATCAGCTTCTAGGGTTTATTAATTGAACAAATCAAATCAAAATAAATCTGCGCTGGGTCAAAGACAATCCAATGAGTTTACAAGCAGCCGCTATGCAATTGTTAAACCAATTAAACCATTAAAATAATAAAAAAGCAGAAACAAATAAATCACAAACAGAAAATTATACATGAAATTCCATAGCAGTCCATGTAGTTTATTAACTAAAGGCAAATAGACTGTGCACTTTGCAAAGTGCAGGTTCTCCAGAGCTTAGCAAATGAGGGGAAGCTCTACTGACTTCCACAATCTGATTACATGCAAGCAAAAATGCTGTTTTTTTTTTTTTTTTCCTTGCATATAATTGGGTAGTCTTTGCAAAGTGAAGCTTTACCTCATTTACTAAGTTCTGGAGCAACAACACTTTGAAAAGTGCACAGTCTGTTTGCCTTTAGTAAATCAACTCCCATGTGTAGATAAATAATCAACATAAACTATTTAATCCCAGGTGAATGTGCAAATGTAATCACTTAACAAAAAGAACTTGTGTAGATAGAAACACAGCTCATCCATAGTGCACCTTTAGACTTGAAAGAACTCCATCACCGTGTATCACCAACAACAGACGTCTCTTAGCAGATTTGGTGCACCATAAAGTTATAAAAGTCAAATTCGCTTAAGTGGTTTGCTTTTTCAATGGCTCCAAGCATAGGATCAAACACTGCACCTCCGCTTGCTGAGATAGGCACAAGAGAAAAAACATATACTTCCATAGTGTAGTATTTTTAAAATGAATGCCTTTTATTTGATCCAGAAGAATTATCATGGTTAAAATCATGCAGATTTGTTGCAAATATACAGCATTTAGAGCAAACAAAATACCAGGCTGATAGCTTATGAAAAAACATTGGCTCCTAGCAGCACTCGTACATGATGACGTCATCTACAAGCCATGCCCTACATGTTTAGGCAGAAACAACGTCTTCGAGGGACAGTCTCCCATAGACATTGTTCTACTTTAAGATACTTCCTATAAAGTGAGAGAATCCCTGATTATCACCTGAGTCACTAGTGTTTCCAATTAAATATTTCCCTCTATTCCTATTCTGGTGACAACCCAAAATTGTTTCCTTCACTTTCATTTTTGGTAATAATGGTAAACAGGAAAAAGCAGGAGGGTGAATTTCACTAACAGTGGCACAGACAGTAATAGAATCGTGACAGCTGTTCTGATCCATTTCCACTCCATCCAAAGTTAGTTATACTTTAAGTTCCAGTCTCCCACTATACTCTGTGGTTCCTTCTACTGGACTCTGTGTCTCTAATGTGTATGGTTTCCTGTACAGCTATGCCAATAATGAGTACGATCTTTTGCTTTTGCACCACCGTGAGCCCAAAACATATACCAATAAGTTTCATAGCATAGTCTTGTTTATTTCATATATCCCATTCTGTATATTAGTATATATATATATATATATATGTGTATGTATGTAAATAGCTCTGTCTGGTAAAATAGCCTGTTTCTGATGTATTTTTTAGGGACAGTGGTAATGCAGAATTTCTTCACCGTGCACCAGACACCATCACAGACTGGAATGCCGGGGCTCTTTGTATGGGCCCCAGTGGATTTGGCCTGTCTGCTCCAGCCTCTCTTAGGGTTTTCCAGCCATTCTTTGTGGATCTCACCCTCCCATACTCTGTAGTGAGAGGAGAAACTTTTATCCTTAAAGCCACCGTGTTCAACTATTTGAAGCAATGTATAAAGGTAACTGCAATGTTTACAATATTGTTGAGGTATGGCACTAGGGAGCATAATTATCCTGCTTGGTATAATTAAATGTGAATGATATTAGTTCATTAAATAATTCAGGTGAAAATAGGAAAATAAGATATATGAATGACAGAACCAGAAGTGAATTCCTATAGTCACATAAACTATATACATGCACATGAATTTTAATGGCATCCTTGTCTTAGTCCGTAGGGTTCAATATTGAGTTGTCCCACCCTTTGCAGCTATAACAGCTTCAACTCTTCTGGGAAGGCTGTCCAAAAGTTTTGGAGTGTGTCTATGGGAATGTTTGACCATTTGTGAGGTCAGGCACTGATGTCGGATGAGAAGGCCTGGCTCTCAGTCTCCACTCTAATTCATCACAAAGGTGTTCTACTGGGTTGAGGTCAGGACTCAGGCAAGTCAAGTTCTTCCACCCCAAACTCATTCATCCATGTCTTTATAGACCTTGCTTTGTGCACTGATGTGCAGTCAGGAAGGGGCCATCCCCAAACTGTTCCCACAAAGTTGGGAGCATGAAAACTGTCCAAAATGTCTTGGTATGCTGCCACCTTAAGAGTTCCGTTCACTGGAACTAAGGTGCCAAGCCCAACCCCTGAAAAACAACCCCACATCATAAGCCCCTCCTCCACCCAACTTTACACTTGGCACAATGCAGTCAGGCAAGTACCTTTCTCCTGGCAACCGCCAAACCCAGACACGTCCTTCGGATTGCTAGACAGAGAAGTGTGATTCGTCACTTCAGAGAACACATCTCCGCTGCTCTAGAATCCAGTGGCGGCGTGCTTTACATCACTTCTTCCAAAGCTTTGCATTGCACTTGGTGATGTAAGGCTTGGATGCAGCTACTCGGCCATGGAAACCCATTCTATGAAGCTCTCTATGCACTGTTGTTGTGCTAATCTGAAGGCCATACAGAGTTGGAGGTGTTTAGCTATTGACTGCAGACAATTGGTGACTTCTGCGCACTGTGCGCTTCAGAATGTGCTGACCCTGCTCTGTCATTTTATGTGGCCTACCACTTTGTGGCTGAGTTGCTGTTGTTCCAAGTCACTTCCACTTTTTATAATACCCCTGTCAGTTGACTGTAGAATATTTAGTAGCAAGAAATTTTAAGGGATGGACTTATCTCACAGTTGGCAATCTATCACGGCACCACGCTTGAATTCACTGAGGTCCTGAGAGCGACCCTTTCTTTCACAAATGTTTGTAGAAGCAGTCTGCATGCCTAGGTGCTTGATTTTATACACCTGTGGCCATGGAGTGATTGGAATACCCGAATCCAATGATTTGGAGGGGTGCCCCAATGCTTTTCACAATATAGTGTATCTCTATTACTACAGTCATGGCCGAAATTGTTGGCACCCTTGATATTTCTCCAGGAAATCATGTATTTCTCACGAAACGTATTGCATTAACACATGTTTGCTATACACATGTTTATTCCCTTTGTGTGTATTGGGACAAAACAAAAAAAGGGAGGAAAGAAAGCAAATTCGACATAATGTCACACAAACCTCCAAAAATGGGCTGGACAAAAGTATTGGCACCCTTTCACAACTGCGGATAAATAAGAATGTTACAAGCATGTGATGCTCCTGTAAACTCACCTGGGGCAAGTAACAGGTGTGGGCAATATAGAAATCACACCTGAAAGCAGATAAAAAGGAGAGACGTTCACTTAACCTTTGCATTGTGTGTCTGTCTGTGCCACACTAAGCATGGACAACAGAAAGAGGAGACGAGAACTGTCTGAGGACCTGAGAACCAAAATTGTGGCAAAATATCAACAATCTCAAGGTTACAAGTCCATCTCCAGAGAACTAGATTTGCCTTTGTCCACAGTGCGCAACATTATCAAGAAGTTTGCAACCCATGGCACTGTAGCTAATCTCCCTGGTCCGTGGACGGATGAGGAAAATTGATGAAAGATTGCAACGCAGAATAGTCCGGATGGTGGATAAGCAGCCCCAAACATGTTCCAAAGACATTCAAGCTGTCCTGCAGGCTCAGGGAGCATCAGTGTCAGCGCGAACTATCCGTCGACATTTAAATGAAATGAAACGCTATGGCAGGAGACCCAGGAGGACCCCACTGCTGACACAGAGACATAAAAAAGCAAGACTACAGTTTGCCAAAATGTACTTGAGTAAGCCAAAAGCCTTCTGGGAAAACGTCTTGTGGACAGATGAGACCAAGATAGAGCTTTTCGGTAAAGCACATCATTCTACTGTTTACCGAAAACGGAATGAGGCCTACAAAGAACAAAACACAGTACCTACGGTAAAATATGGTGGAGGTTCAATGATGTTTTGGGGTTGTTTTGCTGCCTCTGGCACTGGGTGCCTTGACTGTGTGCAAGGCATCATGAAATCTGAGGATTACCAAAGGATTTTGGGTCGCACTGTAGGGCCCAGTGTCAGAAAGCTGGGTTTGCGTCCAAGATCCTGGGTCTTCCAGCAGGACAATGACCCCAAACATACGTCAAAAAGCACTCAGAAAGGATGGCAAAGAAGCGCTGGAGAGTTCTGAAGTGGCCAGCAATGAGCCCAGATCTAAATCCCATTGAACACCTGTGGAGAGATCTTAAAATTGCTGTTGGGAAAAGGTGTCCTTCCAATAAGAGAGACCTGGAGCTGTTTGCAAAGGAAGAGTGGTCCAAAATTCCGGGTGAGAGGTGTCAGAAGCTTATTGATGGTTATAGGAAGCGACTGATTTCAGTTATGTTTTCCAAAGGGTGTGCAACCAAATATTAACTTAAGGGTGCCAATACTTTTGTCCAGCCCATTTTTGGGGTTTTGTGTGACATTATGTCATATTTGCTTTTCTGCCTCTGTTTTATATTTGTTCCAATACATACAAAGGGAATAAACATGTGTATAGCAAAACATGTGTTAATGCAATACCTTTTTTGTGTGAAATACTTGATTTTCAGGAAAAATATCAAGGGTGCCAACAATTTCGGCCATGACTGTATTTATCGTAAGGGAGTATACAGAACACATATGGGTAGTCTAGTTCACAGTGTACTTGCAAAGAAAGTGGCTTTTTTTTAAAATTTTTGTATTTTGTATCACTGGAAGAATTTGCTTTGTGATGGAGATTAGAGGTGTTGGAAGAGGGGTTCCTGGCTTTGATAAAAATGCATTCTTAACCCATGGCTCATTTTTTACTTTGACAGATACAAACCACCCTTCTACCTTCTCAAGAATTACAGCAGAGGACACATGTAGACAGTCCATATACCAGCTGTCTTTGTGCAGAGGAGAGTAAAACCTTCAAATGGAACATGAAAGCCACAAAACTGGGTGATCCATCAGTCTGTCTTCATTCAAGCCAACCAGCAAATGTTTCTTATATGTCAAATGTATTTCCTTCCATAGATACATTAAAAAGTGGTGGCTATCAATGATGAAGATGCATAGGGCTGAAAAGCAAAAGAAAAATTAGTTTGTGGATTTTTTTTTTAATTCAGTCATAATACAGGAACCACATCTCCTACAGCAGGGGTGTCAAACTGGTGGCCCTCCAGCTGTTGCAAAACTACAAGTTCCATCATGCCTCTACCTTTGGGAGTCATGCTTGTAACTGCCAGTCTTGCAATGCCTCATAGAACTTGTAGTTTGGCAACAGCTGGAAGACCACTAGTTTGACACTCCTACCCTACAGAGTACACAGAACCATTATTATTTATTTTTACCACTGCAGGTATTGTAATTTATAATTTCTGCAGCAGTCCTATGCTCATATATCTGCATACGGACCATTTTTGGCTGAAAAGTACTTAGTTGACATGTATTTTTGGGTCATGAAAAGTAATCCGAGAGAATGGAGACTATACAGAGTGCCAATGGCTTTCAACCATGACAGTATTACATGTTTTCCCAAATGTCATCTGTCCTGACCAAAACTCATTTACTGGCTACACTCTACTACCTTCAATGCAAAGTAGTTATCTCATAGATGACCAGGGCTTTCTTTAAAAGAGGATATGATCTGTTCTTTATTTATGTAAACTCATCATGCTAATTATTATAGTTATTATCACCCATTAATTTTCAAACTCTTTCTTTCAAATCAGGATTGGTAAATGTCACAGTGAGGACAGAAGCTATAAACTCATTTGAATTGTGTCAAAATGAGATTCCGGTTGTTCCCAGCCAAGGCAGTTCTGATACGATTATTAAGCCATTACTCATACAGGTCAGTTTCCTGATCATTCCTTTATACTGTGTATCCTATTCAGGTACTAGAGATTTCAAATCAGAATTGTAAGCTCAGCAAAACAAAGATGGAACATGTCACAAAATCACAAAATCCCATTAATGCTAACACAATCATGTACCAGATTCACTATAGTAGGAAATGATATATGAAAAATGTGTTTAAGAAAACTTTCATTGCAACCAATCTGTTTACAGCTATCATTTTTGCCATCCAGGTTTTAAACTAAAACATAGATTCTGGTTGCCATGCAACATTAACATGTTCTTGCAAAGGTTTTATATCCCAGCCTCTAGGTTGGAGGGTCAAGTGATACAAAAGGCAATTACTGTGGGAGATGAGCTGATGAAAGTAAAGACACAGTGTATTAGTAAGCAGCGGGGTAAGCTTCTTTAAAGAGAAGGGTTTCTGTCTAAAGGACGTCTAAAGATGGATAGATTAGGAGATAGTTGGACAGATTTGGGTAGGGAGTATGTATGATCACTATTGTCGTATGGCGTGGCACTTACAGCATATGGAGAAGTGTTGATTACACAAGCGAGTTCCTACTCAGCTTGGATAAGGGCACGAACCCCAATCATTGGATGTGCATGTGATCACTGAGACACTGTTTTTTGTGAACACTTGGATGCACTTTTATTTGTGTTTAAGGATAATGCACTATGTTTAGTTTATTTATTTTGAGGTAATAAGAGTAGAAGAAGACGCATTGCTCGGAGGAGTAGTGGAGATCAAAGGATCACTAAGAACTGGTGGACTTAAAGAAGACTCCATTAGGATATACGGAGAACTTGGAAAGGACTTTTTAATTTTATTTTCACTTGGTTGAACATTGGGTATTTTTAGAGTGACCGACATTGCCTTATCTATAATGACTTTCCTGAGCCCTGTCTCTGCAAATAACTGATAATGACTGAGGGAACTTGAAAAGGGTTTAGCTAGGACTAAACTAACTAGCACTGAACATTAGTGGTGGACAGAGGGAGAAACCAATTTCACATTTGTAAACAAGTTGCAAAGTCCTAAAACCACCACCAAATGGTGAAAAATTATAACCTAATGCAGTTCACTAGAGCACAGAAATATACATGAAAGTGGTGCAGAATACACCCTGCCTAAAATTGTAAGGTTATAAGGTTGTAACCCAATATAAGTCCATAAAGGATGACCTAGATGTCCTAGGACATAAAAAGAACAAGAGAGGGAGAGCAAGCAAAAACAAGTATAAACACAAGTCCAAAGACATCAGGTGAAAACTGGGATGATCTTGGCAATGCAGTCTTGATAACTGAAACAGTCCTTGAAGCATCATGTCGCTCCTGCATGAGAGGCAAAGCATGTGTAAACACTTTGAGGTTGAAATGGAGAAGTCTCTCTTGTTTATCTTAAGGAATTCTGGGTGACTCTATCCACAGGAAGCTCGGCTCTCAACTTGTGAAGTGGAAGATGCTCCTGTTTGAAGCCTCGAGTGGATGGCTTGGATGAATATCCTTGGCTACTGAATGCTAGCAAGACTCTTGGTGCATTCTTTCAGCTGGCTACTTGGGTCTTGGTAGATAGATATGCATTGCATTGGATGATGGAAGGCAGCACAGTGTTTGCCTCATTCACTAAGCTAAAGGGAAATTCCTTTGCAAAGTGTACAGCCTTTTTGCTTTTAGTAAATCAACCCCAACTTGTTGTCTTTCAATGCTACTATCTGTTGATGAGATATGAAAGTGAATGTATTACTTTTGATTCAACTCTAATAATAAGGTTGCCATCATGTGTTTCATCTCCTCATATGTTTTGCTATGTATTGTATTAAGACAATTGTCTTTATATTTATCTATTTTGATTAGATTCTTCTCTAATGTTCTGTATTCCATGTCTATTAATGATTTCAGCCTGGGGGTGTACTGGAAGAAAAGTCTCACAGCTCACTTATTTGTATCCAAGATGGAGAAGGTGAGGGCTTAGAGCCGATTTAAACATGTGCAGTGGGGATTGAAGTTCAGGTTTCACCTGTAATTGACACAGTAGTTGTTCAGCAGATCAGGTCAGCTTTACATCAGTTTCAGGTCAGGATGTTATCTTGTTCACACATGTGGAGTTTGAAACAGTTCCCATAGAAGTCAATAGCTTGTAATTGGCACCTGAACTAGACTTCACTGCTCAGAAATCGAACAGCACTCTTTTTCAGTTCACACTGAATCTGCACTGCCAGTGCACCGGACATATGTGAACAGGCACCATAGGAAGCAATGTTACATCACATGTCATGCAGATTGGATGCGGTGCAACCCACATCCAATCTGCATATATGTGAACCAGCACATCTGGGGAATAATGACAAAGAAAAAATTAGGATTATCTCCTGTACCTCAAAGGTTTTTTTTTTATTGTACACTTGACCATATTGATTGATTCATGCTTATAATCATGCTTAATTTTTTTTTGCAACACTTTTGCCTGTCGTGCATTATATTTTCTCTTGATTTCAGAAAATAGACCACTTCCCCTTTCAGAATTTGTGTTATTTAAGATAAAGATAAGATATTTACTACTGCCAAAACTATGCTAAAATTTTATGCATTCTGTTAATAAATGACCTGCAGTGCCATATGTGCTTTGCAATAAAAAGATGCTGATATATTTTATCATAACATAATGCATTACAATGTGCTGCTGTGCATAGAGTTCAAGGGGTGTAATTGAAAAAAGTTTACAAAAATCAAAAAAATCAAAAACTGTGATGCATTGTAATAACTCCTCCAGTGCATGTGCACAATGCACACAAGTGCATGCATTAGAACACTCGATCCTAAGAGAAAACACCTGAGAAACATTCAATCCTAAGAGAAGATACCCTAGAATCATTCAAACCTAAAAGAAAATACCCTTATGAAAATTAGTTTAGAAGAGAAAATTCCCTAAGAACATTGAATCCTAAGAGAAAATACTCTTAAGAACATTCAATCTTAAAAGGAAATACATTTTAGAACATTCAATCAGAATAGAAAACACTCTAAGAACAGGTTACTTTGCAACACACAGTCATAGTTGACCCAAGACCAACTCTTCCCTTGGTTCTCTACTTCTATTTCTTCTATAATCAATAAACATGTGGAACAGGTCTTAAAATCACTGAATACAATACCCAAGCTCTGTTGCTGGTGATGCCATCCAAGGCTGAAAACTGGTGCTCGTTGCTGGGATGTGCAGTTCCTCAATACTTTTAATGTTGATAGATACTGTATAAGCCAGCAACTTTAGATTGTAAGCTCTAAAGTTTAGATTCCTTAAGATTGTAAGCTCCATGAGAAGGGCCGTCCTCCTATTCCTTTTTGACTGAAAAGTATTGTAATTGCACTGTCTCCCTTATATCATAAAGCACTGCGCAAACTGTTGGCACCATATAAATCCTGTATAATAATAATAATAATAATAAAACTTGGTGGACTCAAACATCGAAAATCTTTATTGGCTACACAAATACATGTACATGTCTAGCCAATAAAGATTTTCAAAGTCTGAGTCCACTGAGATGCTGGCTTATATCTATCAACATTGAAAGAGGTCTTAACCCTTCCCCACTCTATTCAAACCAAAATAAAGTTACTTTTTAAGGAAGTTGTACAGTTTCCTGGGCAAGCAATCTCTCTCTCTCTCTCTCTCTCTCTCTCTCTCTCTCTCTCTCTCTCTCTCTCTCTCTCTCTCTCTCTCTATAAATAAAATTAATCACGTGATGGTATAATGTAAACTATTTTATTACAAATATTTATATTACACATTTTCTATTAAATATAAAATACAATTTGACAATTTCTTTCTTATGCAGCTGTACCCAAAGGCTCCTCAGTAGGCCTGTCCCAAAAAGTCTGAAAAACTACTTTTGGCGTTAAATTGTGTTTATTGGAGGGCACGGCAGGGAATTAAACCACTTACCTGTTTGCATGTGTGCCTCCTTGCCAGGTTTTTATTTACATCTTAAGCCTCATTTTATTAGTTTTTCTGCATATAATTCTTTATAATATATTGTGTGAACATTTATTTTAATTATTATTAAATTGTGTGAAACAGTTTTTATTTGGTAGTACAACGCATAATACTGATATTTGTTGAATGGAGGCCCATTCTAAGTTACTTTCTATGCTTTATACTGTTCTACATTGATCAATAGCTATCTGAAACAATCTTATGTTTTCACATTCAGGTGATTCAAAAACAGAGAAACACTCTTTAAAGATTCCAAGGAACATTCTGAACGAGTCTGAAAGAGCTTATATTTCTGTACTGGGTAAAATATACTGTGATTGCTTTAAATGTCTGTGTAACATGTCTCAAAAATACTAAATGTATAGTATTTTTTTAATGTTTGTATTCACTAGGGAAGGGTTTAAACTTGTTGGAAGGGTTCAAACTTTTCATTTGATTTTTGATGTCTGTGCCCCGTTGATGAGATTTTGCTTAACTTCTTAGATAGCTGCTACCAGAACAAATTCCTGTTAGAAGATTCCCCCTCACCTCTTGTTCTAGTGACAACTATAACATTTTGGATTTTCCATCAGGTCCAGCTTCCAATGAAGATACATTGCTCTAATCCATCTCCACTCTGTCCAAACCTTTAAAACAAAATTTTGACTTTACTTATACTTTAATATTTCAAGTCAGATATAAAATACTGAGATATTATGAATAATACCAAATATAAACATTTATTAACATTTTCCCTTTTTTAGGAGACTTGATGGGTACAGCCATGCAGAACCTAGACCACCTTCTAGCCATGCCATATGGGTGTGGAGAGCAGAACATGCTCCTTTTTGCCCCAAACATCTTCATTCTACAGTATCTGGAGAAGACCCATCAGCTAACTGATGAGATAAAGAAAAAAGCCACCAACTTCCTGGACAGCGGTGAGCTACTGTTTATCCGTACCACATAGTACAAAGAAAAATAATGAGCAGTGACTAACAGCAACCAGTCAAAATTCAAGTTTTAATAAGTACAGATAAACCATAAGGAATAAACATTTATTTCTGGTAGGCTCCTGGAAGTCACTGCACACCTTTCCTGTTTGTGTCCTGGTATCACATAAAGCCCTCATTATTGCATTTTAAAAAAGTTTACGGTATTATTCCACAAACAAGCAAACAAATGCAATAATAATAATCAATAATAGTATAAGAAACATAAAACACATACAGTTAACCACAAATGGAGTTATGAATTGTTCAGAATTGTTGGGTGTTTTTCTGCACAAGAGCAGGCTTAGATGGTGGAGCTCCCACTTCAGCTGTGTAAAGGAGGAGGTAGAGTACTTTAAAAAGTGAAGAATTACAGTCTTTAATTTACATTGCAGTCAATCATTATTAATTGACTTTAGCTACACAAGTTAATTTCTGTGTATCTTTTTTTTTGCTAAATCACCTTCATCTTCTGCACTTGGCTGACATTTTGCATGCTAGAACCCCATAAATGTTGCTGCCTTATCTTCTGAGAAGTACCAAAACTGATCCTGTGTATTCCCCTTTCAAAGCACAATCTCTCTTCCATACCCAAAGCTACCCCATATACAGTGCTCAGTATAAATAAGTACACCCCAACAGATTTATCAAAAAACCTTTACTTTCCTTTCAGAATTAACATTTTCTATGGGACACTATACTACAAAATATTCCCACAAATGCAGGCCATTGATTGCAAACAAGATGTGTTTACTTGCACACACAAAAAAGTATTTTTCCTAACAAATTCATTCAAGAGCATGCAACATAAATACACCCCAATGAAAGTCTTAGTAGCAAAGCTATATTTTAGACAACAAAATCCTACTTAATGAATAATTAGACTAACTAGTAGTTGAATTCTTGTTAAACTAGTGTCCAGCAGACAGTTATTTATAAAAGTTATTACTTAACAAAGAAAACCCCTTTTCATGCTGTCAGCAATGGCACCACATGGAAGAGAAATGTCACAAGGCCTGAGAAGAAAAATAATTTCTTTACACAAGAAAGGTGAAGGCTACAAAAAGATCAGCAAAGCTTTACTTATCAGTCAGAATACTGTAGCAAAAGTGATACAAAAATATAACAAAGATGGAATTGCAACCATCTCACAGAGATATCCAGGCCATCCACGGAAGTAAACACCTCAACAGGAACATCTTCTAATGAGAAAGGCTGAAGAATATTGCCATGCAAGTTCACGTCTGTTAGGTAAAGAAGTAGAAAGCACTGGGGTGATTTTTTCCCGTGACACAATTTGGCATATACTGCAGAGGAATGGCATGCAAGGGTGTCGTCCACGAAGGAAGCCTCTCCTAAAGCCTATCCACAAAAAAGCCAGGCTAGAATATTGCAGGGCCCACGCTGAAAAAGAAGAAGACTACTAGGACTGTACTCTGGAGTGATGAGACCAAGATAAATGTTTTTTTAGAACTGATGGCTTCAAAACTGTATGGCGTCGCAAAGGTGAGGCGTACAAAGAAAAATGCATGGTGTCTACAGTGAAACATGGTGGTGGCAGTGTCCTTCTGTGGGGCTGCAGGAGTGCTGCTGGTGCCGGGGAGCTGCATTTCTTTGATGGTATCATGAATTCACAGATATACTTATTTATATTGAAAGAGAAGATGCTACCATCACTCCATGCCCTTGGTCATCGTGCAATTTTCCAACATGGCAATGATGCAAAACACACATCTAAGGCCCCAGATGCATTTCTGATGAAGAACAGGGTGAAAGTGATTCAGTGGCCAAGTATGTCTCCTGATCTGAACCCAATCGCACACCTCTAGGGAATTCTGGAGAGCATCACATCCAGAATCCAGGCTCTAAAGGAGGTTGTTGTTGAAGAATGGAGAAAGATAGATGTTGTAATATGTCAACAACTTGTTCATTCCATGCCTAGAAGACTTGATGCTGTCCTTAAAAATCATGGAGGTCATACAAAATACTAGATGTAGTAGTTTCTGTTGTGGGGTGTATTCATTTTTGCATCAACTAATTTGAGTAAAACTGAAGATTTTGTAATCTAATTTATATTATTAGCCATACTTTCATGTAATGAGCTAAACAAATGTTCCATGAAACTCAGTTTTGTCAAAATTTGGGAAATTGTTCTTGTGCTCATTGAGATATTGATTAAAATCTTACTTTTCAAAAGGGGTGTACTCATTCATGCTGAGCACTGTATATTGAAAGCTTAGGGGGAAGACACAGAATCATGTGAATAGAGTATTCCATTACCACAAGGATTTGAACCTTTTGTCAAATTCAAATGCTGGCTAATAATGAAACTAATATTTCATTTCTGAGTTACAATGTTTTCTACATTAACTTTTCAGTAAATAAGATTACTTGTTACTCAGAGCATCTCTTTAAATTGAACATAATTTGTAAATCTTCTGTACTTACATTCAGGGCATCAGCGACAGCTCACATATAAGCGTGATGATGGCTCATACAGTGCATTTGGAAAGCGAGACCCTAAGGGTAACACATGGTAAGCTAACTTATAATTATGGCCACTTCTGAACCTATTGGGGGCAGAATACCTTAGTTTATTAAAGTTATACATTTGAAGGATGGTTGAAAATGTCCCCTGATCTTAACCCAAGTTGTGTTTCCAAGTTGTCCTTATTATAAAAATGTATTTAAAAATTCAAAATGCTGTCTTTGTTATGTCTTTGTTTTCAGTAAACATATTTACAGTACCTGATGATATTGTCAAATGTAGAGGGACCACACAAGGATTTAATTTCTTTATCTTTGGCTTGGGGCAGACAATGTTGCATTACTGTAGTCCTTTGCTCCCCAGAGTTCTCTAAGCAAGATATCACCCCTTTGGGAATTCTAGGCAAAGCCCAGCCTTGGATACCCAGCATATAGTCCCATTATTAAGCACAGGCTGTAGTTCAAGGGAAACTTCTCCCAGCAGATATAATGACGGTCCAAACTGGGTTCCATAATAAACTAAGTGGAATCTTTACTTGAGGCAAATAACAAGACAACTGATACATCAGAATCAGCTGTTGCTTCACAGGAAAGACTGAGGGCACATATACTTTATACAGGTTACAGATAGTTAATCTTTCAGGAGAGACCCAAGTCCACACTTACATGCTTCTCAAGGCATCCTCTTACAGCAGGGCTAGTTTTCCTGTTTATATTCCTTCAACAGGGAGCAATTCAGGTACATTCCCAACCCAAGCTAGCACTACTTTAAAGCTGAACATGAACATGAGTGCTTCTATCCCCTCTACGTTTGCACTTTGCTTTGGAGGCCTGTCACCTCTAATATGATCAGGGCATGAGACCACCTGGGACTGTAAACTCAAGATCTAGCAGGCTAGTGGAAACAAGTTTACCTGGGTATCGGTCCTCGCAGATGCAAGAGCAGTGTGACCACACGCAAATGGTGGTGTGTCTCAGGATCTGAGGAGCCACTCGGTCTTTACCAGAGCCACTGTAGGTGTGGATGTTGTGCTGCATGACAGCCCCCAGTTTGCAGCTCTCTAACACACCCGTGCGGGCAAAGTGCAACCAAATAGCACTCTGAAAGGACACAGAGCACTCAGAGGATACCAAAAACTACAGTAACCTACTACAGCAAATGCTGAGGACACACACAGCAACAGGAACTGAGGGGATTGACGGACATAAACCAAAGGGAATATAACGGCACAGCCAAAGGGAAAAGACTGAGAACAAAGACAGAATAAACCAACACAAAAAATATGGGAATGCTCAAGCAGTGGCAAACACCACAGGAACCAGAGGGGTCCAGCTTCCAAATGAAGATACATTGCTCGAATACTAACGCACAGGCGCAAAGGCTTAATATTACCTAGGTTCAGGGCAGATAGGCAGGAACCTGAGAAACTCAGACATGAGGCAAAACCTGGCGTCAGATCGATGTGCACAGAAGCGTGACAACCTCATTACTTCTTACCAGAGGTGTTTGCCAGAACCCCAAAGTGTAACTCGGCAAAGCCTGAACCTTTTCGTGGAGGTCTTTGTCATACACCAACTACTTTGTATGCTCTACACCCAAAGAAACTTCCACCTACCACCAGTTATACAAAAAATACAGACTAATGTTTGACTGTTGCCTAGTCTTTTGAATCCCTCCAATTCACTCCATCAATCATCAGCCCCTTTGGTCATTTTAAATATGCAGCATAAAATGGCAATCTACATTAACCACTAGCAGGGGAGAATACACAAAACTATTGAAAGATAATTTCAGATTGGTTGTTGGGTTACATCACTTTTTTTCAGTTTTTCCTTTAAAGATTTCATCTCCACAGCACGGGTATTTTCAGACCGCCGCCTGCAACACACAAGCCAGGACTGTTTAGTGAGCTGAGCTGACCAGATTCAGTATAAATGCAAGGTGTTTGGTGGGTGTTACATTGCAATGCAGGAGCCTAAACACTGGATACACAGTTTTGTCTGCTGCTGTCATTCACTGTCATTAAGGGGCTTATTTACAGTGCCTTGAAAAAGTATTCACACCCCTTGAAATTTTCCATATTTTGTCATGTTATACCCAAAAGCATAAATGTATTTTTGGGGGATTTTTGTGTGATAGACCAACAAAAAGTGGCACATAATTGTAAAGTGGAAGGAAAATGATAAATAGTTTTCAAATTTTTTTTACAAATAAATATTTGAAACGTGTGGCGTACATTTGTATTCAATACTTTGTAGAACCACCTTTCTCTTCAAATACAGCTGCAAGTCTCTTTGGGGATGTCTCTACCAGCTTTGCACATCTAGAGAGTGAAATTTTTGCCCATTCTTCTTTTAAAAATAGCTCAAGCTCTGTGATATTGGATGGAGAACATCTGAACAGTAATTTTTAATTCTTCCACAGATTCTCAATTGGATTTAGGTCTGGACTTTGACTGGGCCATTCAAACACATGGCTATGCTTTGATCTAAACCATTACATTGTAGATCTAGCTATATGTTTAGGATCATTGTCCTGCTGAAAGGTGAACCTCCGTCCCAGTCTTAAATCTTTTGCAGACTCTAATAGGTTTTATTCTAAGATTGCCCTGTATTTGACTCCATCCATCTTCCCATCAACTCTGACCAGCTTCCCTGTACCTGCTGAAGAAAAGCATCCCCACAACATGATGCTGCCACCAACATGTTTCACGGTGGGGATGGTGTGTTCAGGGTGATGTGCAGTGTTAGTTTTCCGCCACACATAGCATTTTGCTTTTAGGCCAAAAAGTTCAATTTTGGTGTTATCTGATCAAAGCACCTTCTTCCACGTGTGTTTGTTGTGTCCCCCACATGGCTTCTCGCAAACTGCAAATGGGACTTCTTATAGCTTTCTTTCAACAATGGCTTTCTTCTTTCCACTCTATAAAGGCCAGGTTTGTGGAGTGCACAACTAATAGTTGTCCTGTGGACAGATTCTCCCACCTGAGTTGTGTATCTCTCCAACTCCTTCAGAGTTACCATGGGCCTCCTAGCGGCTTCTCTGATTAATGCTCGGCCATGTATTAGTAGTTGTGCCATACTCTTTCTATTTCAGAATGATGGATTGAACAGTGCTCTGTGAGATTTTCAAAGCTTGGGATATTTTTTATAACCTAACCCAACTTTATCCCTGACCTGTCTGTGTGTGTTTCTTGGCCTTCATGATGCTGTTTATTCACTAATGTTCTCTAACAAACCTCTGAGGGCTAAACAGAACAGTTGTATTTATACTGAGATTACATTACATACAGGTGGACACTAGTTACTAATTAGGTGACTTCTGAAGGTAATTGATTCTAGTTAGGGGCATCAGAGAAAAGGGGGCTAAATACAAATGCACGCCATATTTTTCTGGTATTTATTTGTAAAAAATTTGAAAACTATTTATCATTTTCCTTCTACTTCACAATTATGTGTAACTTTCTGTTGGTCTATCACATAAAATCCCAATAAAATGCATTTTTTGGTTGTAACATGAAAAATGTGGAAACTTTTAAGGGGTATGAATACTTTTTCAAGACACTGTATATAGCAGTGAATATGAAAGTCACCAAACATTCACTGAAGATCAATTTTCACATTGCATGGGTTTTTAATGACTGTGATTGATTCACCACAAATGAATGCTTGGTGAAAGGCACATTCACTGCTTTATTAATATGGCCCTAACTCACATTCATACACATATTGGGCCAGTTTACCTACTCAATTTCTTTGGAGTGTGGGAGGAAACCCACGCAGGCACAAAGAGAACCTACAAACTCCAAGCAGGTAGTGCCATGGTTGAGATTCTAACCAACGAACCTAGTGCTGCTAGGAGGAAGTGCTAACCACTTAGTCACCACTTAGTCACTGTGCTGCTCTATAGGGGCAGTACAGTGAATACTTACCAATTGTTTGCGTAAATGCTTATCAACAATTATCCTGGGAAAATGTTATAGGAATTCTCTACTGAATGAACTATGGAAGCTAACATTGCTTTGCCCAAGTATGCAGATTAGGAGCTTTGACTTTCTAACCTGGATGCTTGTTCCAGGTTAGGGACTCAGAAAGCATTTAAGTGAGCACTCTGGCCAAAAATAACTAGCATCTTTCAGCCCACTTCCTCTTAGCCCAGGTTATTCTTGATCCACCCCAGTCTGAGGCTGGATAGTGAAAGAAGAAGCTGAATAGTGTTCAGCACATTTTGTTCTGCTCTTCCCTCCTATCAGCATGGTATTACATATTGCATAACATAATTAGTGCTAAATGATATTTGTTTGTATAACTGAAATCATAGTATTATTGATTACTTTCAGTTTTGTATGTCCTCAATAAATACATTTTAATAAAATAAATGATTTTTTTTTTTTTAAGGTTGACTGCCTTTGTTGTTAAATCCTTCAGCAAAGCTCAGCCGTATATTTTCATAAAGAAAAGTCAAATGAGTGACTCTTTCAATTGGCTCAAAAGCCATCAGCATCAAAGCGGCTGTTTCAACAATGTGGGAAAACTTTTTAATAATGCCATGAAGGTAGGAAGCTGATTATTTGTTGAACAGTATACATACACATGTGCTATTCAGCTGTACCCTCCGTAGCCAATTCAGAATGAGTCTTTTAAACAGCATAAAGGGCTCACTAGTCTATTACCTTGCTCCTGCTACCTTGGAAGCTTCTGCTACCAAGGAACCCATGACCCTCACCAAGCATATCGACCTTCACTTACAGGAGAAAAAAACACTGCACTTTTTTGTGTGGTGTCCTTGCCTATCACCGAATTGCCATCAGGGGCTGCCAGTACTGACAAGCCCACGCAGATTGAAACCACTGATTTGTCTTCTGAGGAAAATCTCCACTGCCAAAAATTAGAACTTTACTGCCAAAGGGCGGACAGCGGGTTAGTACCACTATCACACATGATTTTTCCTGGCACAAGCTGGCATAGGTTTAGTCTCCTCTCAGCCTGCCCCAAAAAGCTGAGAAAATCTTGGCTCCTGTTCCCTACGGCATACCAACTGTAAAACATTTTGCATAGGCCTCCAGTCACTTGGGCGGAACTGAGGATTTACCCGATGAAGCCTATGAGCAACCATAGAACCACGTATCATGACATAGGGTGGCACTACCAGCACTAGCGATTTGTCCTGTCCTACCTCCTTCCTATTCACCTTCAAATGGACCCAGTGGGCCCTGAAGGAGATGTAACATCTCTGCCCATGCTTGTTGACCTTTGTATATGTGGTCATGTGGACCCTGCCGCTGATCACATGCTGAAAGCAACAAGAAGACATTACCTTCCACATGCTGGTGGAAGACAGGGATGGACTTTTGGGGAAAAAAATGGCGACTGGGCACCTACCACTGTGGTAAAACACGGGATGCAAATTTGTAGAAAGGGCAGCTGGAGCAGGAGCAACTGTAACACCAGTAACTGAGACACTGGGCGTGCAATGACTTGGCACATTTTTTTTTTTCTGCATCGGCAGCTGGGAAGAGAGACCTGCCTATCAAGGATATAGCTGGAGATGGTGAAGTGGGATTAGGAGGCTTTGAGCACAGTTGATGCATACACTATTCCCTGCTAAGCATGTCCAATGCTGACCCTCTTCGCTACCTGATGTGCCTTAAGCTTTGCCTCTCGAACCCTTTTCCAAGCTTTCATCTCTTTTCCTTGAGGCTGTAGATGTTGCAGTGGATACAAGTAAGGATTCTTGCAGAGTGGGGGGAAATATGGAGAGAGCAGCAAGGAGGAGCATAGCGAGGTTTGAGGTCAACAGGCAAGTGTCTCCTCATGCATGTGGTACCAAGTGATTGGTAGATTTACCACATCTAATGCACTTCAGGCAGAAGCTACAAACCACTACAGTGCTTTCTGCAGCACATGTATGAAAAAGGCCAATACCTCTGAGCCCTTTGAAGCTTACCTGTGGATACTATTGGTCTGTACCCATGGAGCAGTGCCACCTGGTGGTATAGGGCAGCTGCTCCCTTCCCTCCTATGCACTCTGCCATGTACGAAATTTGGCTGCGCTGAGGTTGTTCCTTTCCCTCCTCTGTATTCTCGGCACCCAGATACTGTCTGCCATCTCATGGTCCCCACCCTCCTCATCACTTGAGCCCACTTGAAAGTAAGCTGCAGCTGCAGGAACATCATTGGCAATTGATTCTTCCTGCAGGTTGTCCCCTCCCTCTATGCTATGTGCACTCTCTTCTTCAGCTATAGACTGTCAGATGCTCAGCAATCAATTTCATCAGATGTTGAACACCATTTGTGCATGCCTGATAATCGTATAACACACAAGCATACAATATCTATCTCTATATTGTGTAAATATTGTGATCTCTGTCCTGTGTTCCAGGGAGGTGTGGAAGATGACATCTCTCTCTCAGCCTATGTAACAATGTCTTTGGTGGAGTCTGGTTTGTCTGTTGAGGTAAGAGATGACATACGTGGATAGGCCTGGTAATACAATGGTGTATACCATTGAAAGGTCCCATGACTGCAGTATAAAACTGTGCAGAAATTGAGGTATTTACAAAATGACTTGATTTAATTCCAAATCTTGAGGATTCATTGCTACACTACCTTTTAAAATGTTCCATTGCACTATTAAGGTGTTTACAGTCATTGGTTTGATGCATTTATTTATAGTCAAACTAAAAAAAACATTAAGTACCTTTCCAATAAGGAATTCTGTTTAGGGCAATGGAGAAGGCACAATGTACAGGTAGTAACAGTTGTAAGATCTTTGTTTTCCCTGAGGATTCTTAGGACTGTTGTATGCTATTCTATAGACATTGGATCATCAATATATCTGACAAGATGTAGCTAGATGGGGAGACAGTATTCTAATGCCAGTAGGTACCTTAAAGGGCATGCCTTTCAACACTTATTCACCCACTGCAAAGGTAAGACAGGACGAGCATAAATAAATACACATATATATATATATATATATATATATATATATATATATATATATACAGTATATCTATACACACACACTGCTCAAAAAATTTAAAGGAACACTGAAAACACATCAGATCTCAATGGTGAAAAATATCATGCTGGATATCTATACTGATATGGACTGGGTAATGTGTTAGGAACGTAAGGACACCCCATAGTTTGATGAAAATGAAAATTGTCAACCTACAGAGGACTGAATTCAAAGACAACCCGAAAATCAAAGTGAAAAAATTATGCAGCAGGCTAATCTATTTTGCTGAAATTTAATTTGCAGACACTCAAAATGGTATTCAGTAGTTTTTATGGCCCCCACATGCTTGTATGCATGCCTGACAACATCAGGGCATGATCCTAATGAGATGACGGATGGTGTCTTGAAGTTTTTCCCACCAGATCTGGACCAGGGCATCACTGAGCTCCTGGACAGTCTAAGGTTGGATGGACCGTAACATGATATCCCAGAGGTGTTCTATTGGATTTAGGTCAGGCGAGCGTTGGGGCCATTCAATGGTATAGATTCCTTCATCCTCCAGGAACTGCTTGAATAGTCTTGTCACATGAGGCCGGGCAATATCATGCACCAGGAGGAGCCCAGGACCCACTGCACCAGCGTAGGGACTGACAGTGGGTCCAAGGATTTGATTCCAATACCTAATGGCAGTCAGAGTGCCATTGTCTAGCCTGTAGAGGTCTGTGCGTCCCTCCATGGATATGCCCCCCCCAGACCATCACTGACCCACCACCAAAATGGTCATGCCGAACAATGTTACAGGCAGCATAAGGTTCTCCAGACCCTTTCACCTCTGTCACATGTGCTCAGGGTGAACCTGCTCTCATCTGTGAAAAGCACAGGGTGCAAGTGGCAGACCTGCCAATTCTGGTGTTCAATAGCAAATGCCAATTGAGCTCTATGGTGTCGGGCAGTGAGCACAGGGCCCACTAGAGGACGTTGGACCTCAGGCCACTTTCATGAAGTCTGTTTCTGATTGTTTGGTCAGAGACATTCACACCAGTGGCCTGCTGAAGGTCATTTTGTAGGGCTCTGGCAGTGCTTATCCTGTTCCTCCTTTCACAAAGGAACAGATACTAGTCCTGCTGATGGGTTAAAAACCTTCTACAGCCCTGTCCAGCTCTCCTAGAGTAACTGCCTGTCTCCTGGAATCTCCTCCATGCTCTTGAGACTGTGCTGGGAGACACAGCAAACCTTCTGGCAATGGCGTGTATTTATGTGCCATCCTGAAGGAGTTGGACTGCCTGTGCAACTTTTGTAGGGTCCAGGTATCGCCTCATGCTACCAATAGTGACACTGACCCTAGCCAAAGGCAAAACTAGTGAAAAACGGTCAGAAATGATGAGTAGGGGAAAAAAATGTCAATGGCCTCCATCTGTAAAACCATTCCTATCTTGGGGGTCATCTCACTGTTGCCCATCTAGTGCACCTGTTAATTTCAGGTTAACCGAAGCAGCTAAAACTGATTAACATCCCCCTCTGCTGCTTAACTGACCAGGTCAATATGCCTGGATTTTAATTGACTTTCTATACTCTGATTTAACAGTGCTCCTTTAATTTTTTTGAGCAGTGTGTGTGTGTGTGTGTGTATATATGTATATACACACATATATATAAAATTATATATGTATATATATATAATTTTTATATATATACATACACACACACAATATATAAATGTATAGTTACAATTTTTCAGTATATGACATGCAGAGGGAGCAGAATGGCTGAAAGTGGATATTCATGGAAAAAGGAATAGCTGTTAATACAGACTTTAAGCTCAAGGTGCAAAAGAGCCACCATTACATCATAACAGAAGATTTTATTAACTATCAGTTCAGCTCTCAGTTATTCATTCATTGATATTGTAAGATCTATATTCTGTATTCCAGGATACACTGGTGAAGGACGCAGTGTCTTGTCTGCAGAAGGCTGCTGGGAATGTGAACAATGTATACACCCTGGCTCTGCTCGCCTACACCTTTACCCTGTGCCAAGAGACAGAGCTCAGGAAAGCTGCACTGGACAAATTGGAACAGAAAGCCATACGTAGAGGTGAGAAAAGATTTTCATTGTAGTCATTTAAAAACTACCTAAAATCCTAACTTTCTATGATTGCCACTGCATTACTACATATGATTCAGAGGAAGAAATAAAACCCTCATAAAGCATTAAGCTAAGGGAAATATCCCTTGCAAAATAAATATGCCATTAGTAAATTAACCCCTAAATTTTTCTCTCTTTCACTCTCTTCCGCTCTTGTATCTGGTGTATTGTTCAAGCTATACGCTGCAGTCTGTGATGTACAACTCAGAATTCCTCTTTCAGAAGCTCCTCCTACACAATGTCATGATACTCTTTCTATAAGCCCTTGTTGTTCCCTTTTGTATAATAGATGGACAGTTATACTGGCAGCGGGCACCTACACCGCCATCTAATGTGCCTAACTGGTACCGAGCTTCATCTTTTGAGGTTGAGATGACTGCTTATGTGCTCCTGGCTCTGCTCTCTGGACCTAAACAAGACTTGGGTAAATCTTCAGAGATCGTAAGATGGTTGACCAAACAGCAAAACTCTTATGGTGGATTCTCTTCCACACAGGTAAAAAAGGCATAAAGTATAAATGCTGTAGTTATTTCAATACTATAAGTACATGAACCAAATCAATTGCCTATGGGACTTTAAAGGATGAATTCACCTTTTGGGAACATGTTACATGCTCTACCCATTTTTTGGGTGAAACGTGTAATATGTTCCCAATGCTGCAGCTGTTGCCCGATTTCCCCCCCCCCCCCCCTTTATGACAGCAGTTTGGGGAGAAGTTCCCTCTACTACCTGTAACTTCTTAAAAACAGTGTGGCCGTGCGGAGCTCCGCCCACATGACCACATCAATCATTCACAGTGTTCTGTGACTGAATGGACTACTTAGCGGCTGTCAGCTTGTAGTTCTCAGTGAACTTCCACTGCGCAATGGAGCGCCATGGTGGTTCATTGATTCTTCCTGTCAGTATATCTGCTTGCCTGTACATCCCAGCAAGCAGATATACTGACAAGTCTGCAGGAGACCTGTATGGCACCACTGATCTGCTGATTGCTCATGCAATGCTTTACAGGCTCCTGCAACAAAAAATAATACATGCACATTTTTTTTACCTGCAATGACCTAACATGCCAGTTTATTGAACAATACATGTAAATCTCATAAATGAAAATAACAAGCTGAATTGTTCTATCCAGCATAGATCAGCCTAGAGTATTAATATAATTAGTCCATATACTGTAGATATTCACATATAACCAAATTGCTAAAAAGGAGCACATCCTAAAACTCAACATGTTTCGTGAATGTTACTTCATATCTTCAGGAGTGGATGCCACCAGTATAAAATATGTGAACTAAAAAACAAGGTTTCAGAATATGTTTGAACACTCCAAAAGAAAAGGGGAGGTTTTTAAAATGTTGCTCAAGTGCTGTCATTGTTTGATGAAAAAGGTACTTACAAACTAGCTTGATAGAAAAATCATTATTGTGACGCCTTCAGATGGTGACCGCCACAGGGTGTGTGATTTTGGAAGGGGCCCAAAGCACCCCAATAGGGCAACCAAAGAGCAGCACAAGGAGGTACATGGATGGAATTTGAAAATCTGTGAAAAGTAGACATAAAGGCCTGTGAAACAGTTAAACAGTTAAACAGTGATATATAATATCCATAGGCAAAAGACTACCACCAGATACTACTCAAAGAAACAAAGTACTTCAGTAAATCCTGTTCTTGAAAGTAGAATGTGTACTCGAAGTGGGCAAAATTATGTAGCTTCATGGTATGAATATTATAATAGTGAAATAACCAAAAGATTACAAATGAGTAGGAAGAATGAATGGGAATACTAATTCACCATAAACATTTGAATAGTCATTGCATGAAATGTGCATGTGACCTATAGTTCCTCAGGTAAACAACCATGATGAGCAAATCAATTGGCAAACCGGAAATTGTTCTATTTGTCTGAATATAAACCTAGATTATTCCAGTCAGCAGAGAGATACAAATTCTTGTACGATTGCTTAGGTTCTTGAGTTTTGCCATTCTTAGTCCAGTTCTGACAGATCTTCAAACAAAAACCCCAGAAAAATCTCTATTTCTGCTTTGGTGAACAACATTTATGTGTGCTTTAAAATTCTGAGCTTTGAGTGGTATAATATCTGTCTTTTCTTTCTCAGGACACAGTTGTGGCTCTTCAGGCCCTGGCCAAGTATGCAGAGGCCACGTACAGTGACAAAGGAGATATGACAGTGACAGTCAGTTCTAACACAGGATTTCTGGCGAACTTCCATGTAGATAACAAAAACAGACTCCTCTTCCAGAGGGCAATACTACCAACAATCCCTGGAGAATACACAGTGACCGCCACAGGAGGTGGTTGTGTCACTGTGCAGGTGGGTGGGAATTCACACTTTTTCCTTCTGTTCCATTGATTCTGTGATTGTCTCATCTTGTTATACTTACTTTACAGACAGTCCTAAGATATAACATCCCTGTAGTAAGAAATGAGACCACCTTTGCTGTCACGGTGGAAGTCACACCAGAACATTGTGTAGAAGATCCAGTGAAAGAGCTTAGACTCAATATATAATGCTCAGTAAGTTCTCTAAATTGTACCTGCATGTATGGCTATAGCTATATCTATGACCCACTTGCTGTATGTATTATTGTATTCAATATTACTGTCATGTTATAAAAACATATAGCACTCCTTACAGTGCCCCTTTAATGAATAGTTTCTGAAATAAGAATGATTCCTTTACAGTGGACAATGAAGTTCCATATCAGAAGTGTTTTCGATTTTGGTAGACCCCCTCCTGCGTCTAAACAGCACTCTTTTGCCAATATGTACTTAAAGCAGAACTATACTGCATTTGAGCACCACAAACAAAAACCACTATTTAATTTTTTTTTATTACTCAAAGCGTCTGTTCCTCCATGTCTCCATAACTTATTTTGCTGGGAAACACCCCCTTAGCATTTCTGGCCATGGCCATCTTAAATAAGGGGAGATAATTCATGTAGCATTTACTTTCTGGAATCTATCTGCCCTTAGCTCAGGCATGCAGACAGGAGGGAGTACTTAGCTGAGAAAAACCCTTCTCCACTCCTGTAGACTCGTGGGATGTATGACACCATTTGCCCTAGGCAAGAAACTAGGAAGTAACAGAAAAAATGTGAAAAAAAGTTTAAAATAAGCAGATATGAAATACTTTCCTATCTGTTTACTATTGTTAGCAGCATAAGGATTAAAATAGTCAATGTTGATTGAGAGAATGAAGTTCTGCTTTAAGAGTGAAGGCACTTTGCGGCACTGGCCACAACAACTAGCTGGAATGCAGCTGATATATTGTAGTAGAAAAGAAAAATAAAAAAAGGCATATGGTTGTTTTGACATGCCTTTTTTCTGAGGGCATTTTTCATTTGCTCAAGTTTGATTTACTAGTTGACAGTTTTATTTTAAAGTGTATGTCAAGGCAAAATAAAAGAAAAACATTTGAAGTGCATCTTTGTATTACATGCACATATTCCCATGTTTATAGCACTTTAAAGGACTTGCAAGTACAAAAACAATATTTGCTGACTTGCCATAAATGCACACAGATCTTAAGCTATGTTTTGGGCTGACAACACCCAGCCTTTCTGTAAACTAAATGTTGATAGCCTTGCCCAGTGTCTTAGTCCACCACTCCCACTCTCAGACCTTTACAACATAAAGGCAAATCGTTCTGCAGTCCAAGATGAGAACTAGGAAGGTAAAGTAAATTATTTAAGATAACATAGTAAGTGTGAAGAGGGCACAAGACCGCTCAGAATTTCTGACAAGATCAACAGTTTTTTGCATGTATCAAACAGACATCATAACACACTCTTAATGGTATATTTAACAGATCAAAAAGGAGCAAATAAGCGTTCATTGTTGGGGTTTACATACACTTAAATACAGGTGAAGACTGAAGATTACAATTTTACAAACTCTGGTTGCTTTGAAAGTCAGTCCCAGCAATAGAGCAGACTAAATCCTCAGTTTATGCTACATATTGACTGGGTTTGTCAGCCACAGATCAATCAGATCTAAGCTTGATCTGGAAAATTAGTTTGGGAAAAAAGCCTGAACCTTTTTGGTGGCTACAAGGCAAAAAATTGTTCTTATTTAGCTCTTTAATAAATGAGGTAAGGGAGAGTGAGCAGGGAAGAGTTTATTAGAAACAGTGATGTAAATCTGCTGTCATAATATGTTGTTAGCATCCTATTGGTATTAACTTTCTAAGGGTAAGGTGAAATAATACAGATCTTTCTATTTTCTCAGGTACACAGGTTCCCGGGAGATATCCAATATGATTATCATAGAGGTGAAGATGTTGTCTGGATACATCCCAGTTAAGAGCTCAGTAAGACAGGTATGTCATTGGCTAAGAAGGGTATTCAAAAACAATTGAGGCAGTTAGGTGTCAAATGTCATAGCTGGAGGATCAGCTTAACTGTGACATTTTGGGGCTTTTTTTGTCAGTAAAATTTTTTGATTTTCAGCCTTTTCAACTTCAGCACCTTTAACCTACTTCCTGTTACTGAAACCTGGCTTCATGAATTTGACTCTTCCTCTCTAGCTGCCCTCTCGCATAGTGAACACCTTTGGATTCACTCACCCAGACACAGTGGGGATAGACTTCTTCTATCCCTACAAAGCACGTTTCAAATTATCCCTACAACTCCCTCCCTGTCCTTCTCCTCTTTTGAGCCTCACTGTATTAGTCTTTTTGTTCTAGTTTTTCTAAGGATTGCTGGGATTTATCGGTCTCCTAGATCAATGTCACACTTCCTTAGTGTCTTCTCTGCCCTGTTACCCTTTTTTCTCCCCTGAAATATTTGCTATCATCCTTGGTTCACTTTAACTTTCCAGTTAATGTTAACACCCCAGATACCTCTCAACTCCTCAGCCTAACCTTTTCCTTTGATCTAACACAATGGACACACACTCCTTCTCACTGTGATGGAAACACCCATGGCCTTGATTTCTCCCGCTTCTGCAGTCTTTGCAACCGCTCCAGCAAGCATTTTCCTCTCTCTGATCACAACAGTATCAGTTTCATCCAATCAACAACCAGTCACCCATTGAAAACTTTACCACTTTAACCCTTCTCTTCTCTGTTCTGCTACTACCTCTATGGCAAAATCTCACCCATATCCTGCTCTGATCTGACCATCTCAGTCTATAACAGCTCGCTCACATCCATCCTGAACAGACTTATTCCGCTCACTACACACAAAATTAGGCCCGACTGCTACAACATAGACCTGCTCATGAGTGACTGTGGCATAAATCTAAATCCCTGCAATACTTCACCTCATACAAATCCACCCTACTAAAAAAATACAATTCCTACCTCCATGCTACCAAACAAAACATTTTTGTCACTCTCAATAACAACCTCTAATCTAGTCCTTGACAATTACTTTCTACCTTTAGCTCTCTACTTTTTTCCGCCACTGTCTCCACCCACTAACCCACTCACTACCCAGGAGATTGCCAGTCAATTAAAAACAAGGTTGATGCATAATGTGATGAGATCTCCACTGTCTAGAAAACTCCCCCATGCAACATACAATGTCCACCACCACACTCAGTACTCTGTTCTTTTGACCCTGTTACCACAGAGCAGGTTGCTAAACTTTATTCTGAGGCCCACCTAACCACTTGTCTCTATGGCCTGATTACCTTGCAACTTCTATGGTCATCCTCTTGCTCTGCTATGCGCTCCCTAACTCACATTTTCATTCTCTCGCTTTCTAATGGCATAATTTCCATTCCTCTAAAACATACACTTGTCACCCCATATCTAAACACCCTCACTGGACCCAACCAGCTTGAACAATTTAAGATCAATTCCTTGCTTCTGTGTACCTCCCAGCTTCTTGAACACCTTGTTTACAACTGTCTGAACTGCTGATAACAACAATCTTAACCCCCTACAATCTTGGTTACCACCCACTACATGCCACTGAAATGGCCCTCCCTAAAACCCGCTAATAACTCACTAAATGTTAAAACCACTGACCATTACTCTGTACTTGTATGCAAAGACCTTTCCACCACCTTTGATACAGCTGACCACACATTCCTGACCCCTCTCCACTCCCTCTGACCTCCTTGCCCTCTGATATTCTTACACAGGCTATTCTCCTTTCAGTCTATTGCAAATGCTGTTGTTAGACTCATCCACCTTACAAACTGTTCAATGGCCACCACCCTACTCTGCCAATCCCTCCAGCTAGCTTATGCTAGCCCAATGTATAAAATTCAAATTCTAACTAAATATATATAGCCATCCCACAACTCTGCTCCCAGCTACATCACCAACCTTATCCCAAAATATCACCCAAACCGTCCACTCTGTCCATTTACTCTCTAGCTCTTCTATTACCTTTTCTCATGCTAGCCTCTAGGACTTTTCCAGAGCCTCACCTATTCTCTGGAACTCCACATTCTACTCTGTCTGGACATCTCCAGCCCTGTCTCTAGGTGAAAACACATCCGTTCAGGAAAGCCTATCTTACCTCAACCAAAAAAAAACTGTACTCCTACTTTCTCCATCAGCCTTATCCATCAAAGTTATTACCTTTTGTATCACTTGCCCTTTTAGATTATAAGATCTCATGAGGAGGACCCTCCTGGTCCTCTTGAATCAAATTGTCTTTTTTTTTTATTATTTAAATATTTATTAATTTTTCATATAAAATACATGTTCCATCATTACTCTCATATAACATACAAAGCCATCATTTATATCCCTTTCTATCTTTATTCCCATTACCCTCCCACCGCCTATCTAATACCGCCCCACCCATAAAACCACCCACTCTTCATTTTTCCATTACATCTTTTCTTAAGTATTTTCACATATCCCACTCTACTGCTTCATATATTTCACCTTGGACACAAAATCTTCCCAATTTCCCCACCTCCTATAATATAACCCCATCTTGTCTTCTTGCATATAATACAGTTTCTCCATCCTACATATCTGGTTCATTCTTTCCACCCAATCCTCTTCTCTCGGCACCTCTGAACTATGCCAAAACTTAGGTATCAGACCCTTTGCCGCATTCAGATAATACCATATACCCGAATCTTTGTATTTGTTCACTGATAGTTCTGTACTGTGTAATAGACACAACTCTGGATCCAATCCTATCTTTATCCCAGATATTATCCCAATCAAATGAACCATTGTCTCCCAAAAACCTTGAATCTTTGGGCACTCCCACCATATGTGATATAACATACCTATCTTTCCACACCCCCGTCAACACTCCAGTGTATTCTCCCCATTCATCTTATATTCAACGTTCGGTGCAATGTGCCATCTTGTTAAACACTTATAATTTACTTCCACCTCTCTCATGCTTATATTCTCGTGTGTTAGTCTATATATTTTCCTTTGTTTGTCTTCATCTATCTCTATTCCCAAATCTCTTTCCCATTTTACTATATACATCGGCTTTGCGTGTGTGTCTAACTCAGTGATAATTTTATAAACTTTTGCCGTGCCCCATTTCCCATCTCCACGTAATTCCAACAACCTCTCAAACAAATTCCAATCCTTTCTCAATCTCAAAGGTTTCGGAAGATTCCCAATAAAGTGTTTCAATTGGTGGTATCTCCACTCATCTATCTTAATGAAAAGTTCTCTCTTGAACTTCGCCCATGGGCAGCTCCTCCTCCCACCCACCTCCCCAACACTCCCCATCCATTAAATCAACTCACTAAAGTTCCACAATATCCCCCAGAGGAAGATCTCTAAGAGGTCCTTATTAAGGCAGTGAATCTATTTTTTCTATATCACTACTACTATTCCTCAAACCTCCTAATATACTTCCGAAGGAGATATTAAAATCTCACAAGAGAGGAGAGGAGATGGAAAAAAAAAATTCCCTTACTTCCTTTTCTCTCCCCTCCTCCACTCTCCCCCTCTACCTTCTCCCCCTAACAGACTGCCAGTCCTCTTGTGTTGTCTCTCCTCATTCTCTATTTTCTTCTTCCCATCCGGCAATCTCCATTCTTTGCAACTCAAGTCTTTCACAAAAATCCCTCATATCCTCTGGAAATCTCAAGTGAACTGTTACTCCATTTTTCCAACCAATCAGGCATACTGGAGTCCCCCATCTATAAGACACATTCTTTTTTCTCATCTGCTCTATCAGAGGTTTCAGAGTTCTTTTTCTCCACAAGGTCTCTGGTGTAAGGTCTGCAAAAATCTGAATGTCCATTTCACCATATTTAATCGTTGTTTTCCCTTTAATCTTCCTCCAAATTCTCTTCTCTATCTCCATATCTGTGGAGTTGGACGATTACATCTCTCGGTTTTTCCTTCCCAACACTTTGATATCGTTTTCCTATTCTCAAGACACCATCCATTTTAATCACTTCTAATTCAGATCTGTCCATTATAAAATTTAAAATTTTACATATTTCTTCTTGCAATACTTCCCCATCTACAGTCTCTGGGACACCCCTCAGCCTTGGATTATTCCTCCTGTCCCTATTTACTTCCAATTTATACAACAATTTTTCCTGGGTTTTCTCCATATTCTTTATTTTTTTCTCTAATTGAGAAAAGTTTTGGGCCTGATGTTTAATTTTCTCCTCCGTTTCCTCCACTCTTATCAGCACCTGCCCCAGATCATTTTGGATAGTTGCCATTTCATTCTTTATTATTTTTTCTAAGGCCCCAAACATTTCTGCCATCTCTTTTTTGTTTGGTGCTTGTACAGTGGGGATCGAAAGTTTGGGCACCCCAGCCAAAAATTTGTATTAATGTGCATAAAGAAGCCAAGGAAAGATGGAAAAAATCTCCAAAAGGCATCAAATTACAGATTAGACATTCTTATAAAATGTCAACAAAAGTTAGATTTTATTTCTATCATTTACACTTTCAAAATAACAAAACAAAAAAATGGCGTCTGCAAAAGTTTGGGCACCCTGCAGAGTTAATATCTTGTACTGCCCCCTTTGGCAAGTATCACAGCTTGTAAACGCTTTTTGTAGCCAGCCAAGAGTCTTTCAATTCTTGTTTGAGGTATCTTTGCCCATTCTTCCTTACAAAAGTCCTCCAGTTCTTTGAGATTTCTGGGCTGTCTCTCACGCACTGCTCTTTTAAGGTCTATCCATAGATTTTCAATTATGTTGAGGTCAGGAGATTGTGAAGGCCATGGCAAAACCTTCAGTTTACGCCTCTTGATGTAATCCCCCGTGGATTTCGAGGTGTGTTTAGGATCATTATCCATTTGTAGAAGCCATCCTCTCTTTAACTTCAGCTTTTTCACAGATGGCATCAAGTTACCATCCAAAATTTGCTGAAATTTTATTGAATCCATTTTTCCTTCTACTCGTGAGATGTTCCCTGTGCCACTGGCTGCAACACAACCCCAAAGCATGATTGATCCAACCCCATGCTTAACAGTTGGACAGAGGTTCTTTTCATTAAATTCTGTGCCCCTTCTTCTCCAAACGTACCTTTGCTCATTCCGGCCAAAAAGTTCAATTTTAACCTCATCGGTCCACAGAACTTGTTTCCAAAATGCATCAGGCTTGTCTATATGTTCATTTGCAAAGTTCAAACGATGATTTTTTGTGGTGAGGACGTAGAAGAGGTTTTCTTCTGATGACTCTTCCATGAAGACCATATTTGTACAAGTATCTCTTTATAGTGGAATAGTGTACCACAACTCCAGTGTCTGCCAGATCTTTCTGGAGGGATCGTGCAGTCAAACGTGGGTTTTGAATTGTTTTTCTCACAATCCTGCGAGCTGTTCTGTCTGATATTTTTCTTGGTCTTCCAGATCTTGCTTTTAACTTCCACTGTTCCTGATGACTGCCATTTCTTAATTACATTCCGAACAGAGGATATTGACATCTGAAAACACTTTGCTATCTTCTTATAGCCTTCTCCAGCTTTGTGAGCGTCAACTATTTTCAGTTTCAGTTTTCTAGACAACTGCTTAGAAGAACCCATGGTGCTGATTGTTGGGGCAAGGTCAGATGAGTCTGGGCATTTAAAACCTTTGAGATTGACATCACCTGGTCTTCCCAGACGATGATTGAGAACAATCCATGACACTGGCAGGTCTCAGCTTTGCAAAGGGGGCAGTGCATGCTATAAATTCTGCAGGGTGCCCAAACTTTTGCAGACGCCTTTTTTTTGTTTTCTGTTATTTTGAAAGTGTAAATGATGGAAATAAAATCTAACTTTTGTTGATATATTATAAGAATGTCTAATCTGTAATTTGATGCCTTTTGGAGATTTTTCCATCTTTCCTTGGCTTCTTCATGCACATTAATACAATTTTTTAGCTGGGGTGCCCAAACTTTCGATCCCCACTGTATATCACTTTCCATTTCTCTCGACTCCACCATTCCAATTATTTGCTGATTACTAACATTCAAGCCCAATGATAATCTAGGGCTATTTTCCAGACTAATATCACTTTCCCCTTTTCCATTTATACCTTGTAGCCTTTCTGGGGTCACATTTCCCTGAGACATGTATTTTTTAATTGTTCCCGTTTGGGTCCCTTTAAGCCCGCTGCCTTTAGTACTTTTATTCTTCATATCTTCTGTGGGGCTTATTCTCCTCTATAGTTTCATAAGACAATAGGTGTTACAACTATATGATAGGGTCCCCTCTTTGCTTAATAAATTGTCCACTTGGTTTCCTTATTTGGTTGCTTAATTTCTTCATTTTATCTCTCCTTCAAAGCCCCTGGGAATCCCCTCATCTCTCCTTCATCTTCTGCTCTTTTAAACAGTAACATGAAAACACTTGAAAAAAAGCATTAATTTATTTCAAGCCGCTTCCAACTCACCCAGCTCTCTCCTCCTTCTCTTCAATGCGGCTCCATACTGCTGACATCAAACTACTATCCTCAGAGCGATCTCCAGGGGGATTCCACAGGGTTGCTTCAATTATATTTCCCTAGATTTTTCCCATAGGGGTATCCGTGGTTCCTGGGTATACTAGGGCACACGTCCTCTCTCCGGTCCAGGTATCCAGCCAGGGGGTACTCTGAGAAGCCGACCGTCTCACTCCCTCTCCTCTCGGGATGCCGGCCGGCTTCCTCCATTCCCAGCACTCCTTTGCGGCTGACCACGTGGTCACGCCGCTCTCCTGTCTCCCGGCAACCCGGCTTCCCAGCTCTCTTACTTGCCGAGCTCCGGATGGGTCAATCTCTGCCCACAGCTCCCAGTTCTCCTCGTCCCCGGATCTCCACTCCACTACCGAGGCCCCAGCATCTCAGGTAGGTCTCACCCCGGCATATCCCGACTCCGATAGGGTTCCTGGGGAGGCTGGGTGGGGGAGCCTTATTGGAGAGCTCCTACCTTGAGCTCTCCGCCGCCGCCATGCTCAGGCTCCACCACCTGGTGTATGTGGTTCTTGTATCAAATTGTCTTGTGCTCTTTCCCTTTATTTTTTAAAATGCTCTGCAAACTTCTGGCACCACATAAATCCTGTATAATAATGATAATTTCCTGAAAATAGAAGTACAAAAACAATAGTACACATTATAAAGATCTTTTTTTATCTTCCTGAATATAATCAGGCATAATTGTCAGATTTTTATGGCCTGTGTCAAAACATTTACCCTATACCAGCATCCTGATCACTGCCATACTTCATACCAATTTCCTGATCACCGCCATACCCCATATTAGCGTCCTGATCACTGCCATGCCCCATACCAGCGTCCTGATCACTGCAATACCCCATACCAGCATCCTGATCACAGCCATATCTCATACCAATGTCTGGATCACTGCCATACCTCATACTGACATCCTGATCACCACCATACACCATACCAACAGCCTGATCACTGCCATAACCCATACCAGAGTCCTGATCACAGCCATACCGCATACCAATGTTCTGATCACCACCATATGTCATTGTAGCATTTTAGCATCTCAACTGATCAATTTTCAGATATATATATATCATAGTTTGTAGACTCTATAACTTTCACACAGACTAAATAATTTACACTGTTTTGGGTTATTTTTTTCCCCAAAAATGTAGCAGAATACATTTTGGTCTAAATTTATGAAGAGAGATTATTTATTTGCAAAATTTTTTATAACAAAAACTAATCAAAAAAGGTTTTTTATTTTAGAATTTTTGGTATTTTTTCATTTATAAAACAAAAAAAAAAAATAAAAACCTCTATTTGTGTGAAAAAAATCAAAAAAGAAAGAAACCTCTATTTGTGTGAAAAAATGAAAAAGATTCATATAGGTACAGTGTTGCATGACAGAGCAATTGTCATTCAAAGTGCGTTAATACAGAAAGCTGAAAATTGGCCCGGAGGATGAAAGTGCCCAGACTTGAAATGCTTAAATAATTGGGAACAAAAAATAATAAAAAAGTGCTTAGCAAGGCACTGCCTATTCTGTGGTTTTGGCAAAATCCAATATATTGTAGCATCAGTCCATTTCTTGTGTATCAGTTTCGTTCTGCCTGAGACTTTACACATGCATATGTAGTTTTGAAATTAAGAGCTTCAGATGTAACCATCTTTTCAGAACCTGAGAATGGCGTATTCAGAGATGACCTGACTAATCAGAGTCTGAGGATCGGCTGAACGGTCTGGATGTGTTTTACGGTAGTATAGCAGACCCCCCTAGCACAAGTAAAAAAAAAAAACGGAGTGCCAAATTGGTGATTCTCCTTATTACATCATCTCTAATTATGGGTTCTACTTGCACAGGTCACTTAAGCCCATGTTCAGATTGACATTTAGTGGTGCTTGTAATTAAAGAGACTTGAACATTACTAGTGATAATCATGTTGTGAATAGGTCAATAAACAAGCAGCACTAAGAATGCAAGAGTTGGGTATTTTTCTCTAAGATCTGCCAGAATACTGAGAAATCTTCACCTGCATAATAAAACAAATCAGCTACCGTCTCTGTTGCTTGGCAGTTGCAGTGCTAACCAACATATTTCTTACCAGTTTTTCCTGTTTATGTCTAAATGAAGAACTATCTGGGTAATTTAAAAATATGTGTTGTGAAGATGTATGGCAGCCATCTTTACTTGCCTTTCCAGTTGAAAATACTAGTTACCCAGAATTATCATGTTCTAAAGATTTCAGTCTTCTTCCTTACTCTGACATTCATGATCTACATGCATGTTTCCATGCCAGGATCTCAGCACTTTAGAGCCCATTTACATCTTGGCACATGACCTTTATTTTAAGCCCTGTGTGTAGCTTTGTTTTGTGGCATGCTACAATGCAGGTGTGCTGTCTTAGCGCATAGGAGTACCATTCCAAATGAATGGCACTGCAATGTATGGTACATACACTACCATGTGTTTTAGTATGGAAATGTGAATCAGGCTTTACTGTTTGAGACAGCTAGGCATTCCCAACACCCTGAATGGGCTATTAATAGTGGATTATATGACCCATTACAAGTGAAAGACAAGGACAGATAAATGATTTAATCTGTTGTTCTCCTAAAACCCTCCAGCTGTACTGTCATTTTATTACTGCTGTTCTCTGGTTGCTATTGATTTTTAGTGGTGTTCCACAGAGCAGGATAAACAAGTGGTCAAGATGCAATCCTCAATGCCTCCACAACTATCTGGCAATATATCTGGAGGATTAAGAGAACAATCAATTAAATCTTTTATCTGTTCTGCCTGCTGCTTGTAATGCGTTGTATAATCTTCTGTTAATAGCCCATTCAGGGTGTTGTCTGACATTTATGATTGGACATTATTGTGTATTTTTTCACTGTGTTATATTATGGAGTGTTAGATATCTCAACACAAAGGGGTTGATTTACTAAAACTGGAGAGTACAAAATCTTTTGCAGCTGTGCATGATAGCCAATCAGCTTCCAGGTTTTATTGTGAAAGCTTAATTGAACAAACTGAAGTTAAAAGCTGATTGGCTAACATGAACAGCTGCACCAGATTTTGCTCTCTTTAGTTTTAGTAAATCAACCTTAATGTCTTATAAGTGAGTTGCTAAATTCTTCAGTGTTAAAAACAAAATGTAAAAAAATGTACATCTAACTGAAGCAATATTCTGATATTTTTAAATAGGTAGTTTAACAAAGATTTAATTTTACTAATAAATATCTAAATCTTTTTCTAGCTGGAGAATGACAAAGTAATAAAGAGGAGTGAAATCAGCACCGATCTGGTGATCCTGTATCTGAATGAGGTCAGTGATGTGTCCAGAGCTCTTCATTCCCATCATTGGATCCATTCAAAATATGATCTGTTTTTTTTTTATAGTTTTATACATTTTAAAGCCTGACTCCAGCCAAACTTTCATTTTGCATTTGGGATTTGTGGAAAAAAATGTTAGGACTTCTGTTGGCTTTATTACCTATAACAAGTGGTGATGAAAGGTTTCACTCATATATCCTATATTATATTGGAAATTATATGAAATGGTCAGTCCATTCAAAATTGATTTTTAGTTACTGATAGATGCTGAATAGACAAAGCACCTGACAATTTATTATATCTCTGCATCTTGGTGAGATCTCTGTGCTTGAGTTCCTGGGTCTGTACCCCTGCTGTGGTCATTATCAGGGGCATTCCATTCTCCATGTTGTATTTTATATTTATTTGATACTATGGAGATTATAACAGGAGGAGATACAACACACAAAGGTGAAAACCTACAATTCCCAGGAAGACAGGAACAAAGTTGAGAATAATGGCAGGGATGTCTCACTGTTGATGTGTCCAATATGCAAAAGAAGCTGAGGGTTGACTAAGCCTAGCATGCTCCATTTATAACTAAAACATGACTTTTTGGTGGACTGATGCTCTAATCATCTTTATTAATCTATATACAGTCTATTGTATAGTCATTAATTCATTTTGTGCTTATGAAGACCACATAGTATAGTAGGTGCCAAAACATCTATTCCCAATACAAAGAACAGACTGCAAAGCTGCTTTTAGTAATAAGAGAGGGAACATGTGGGGTACAAGGAACCAGGGAACCAGTTGGAGCCTGCTGCCATAATGTAAGCCATTTTCTTTTTTTAGCTGAACCACAGTCCCGTACATATCTCCTTTCTGGTAGAACAGGACATTGAAGTGAAAGGCCTGAAACCGGCCACTGTGAAAGTGTATGACTATTATGAGACAGGTAAGATAAAGAAAAGGTAAGACCTCTGCTGTGGTGTTACATAGAATGACTAAAACAGAGCTCCAGTTTTCATTTAGGTTTTTTTTTACATATCCGCATTGCAGAAACACACAGAACATGTGGTGTGATGACATTTATTTTAAACGGCACAGCAACATGCTCTGTACTACATTGTGGTAAATTAGAAAAAAAGGTCATGTGAAATTTCAGGCACGTTGGGATGATTTGGCAGCTCATTCATTTGGAATGGGCTACCTTAAAACAAACACATACTAATGCTCATCATAACTTGTGTTAACATGCATGTGCAAAGATATAAATGGGTCCATTTAACATTTTATAAAAGTTTTATTGAAGTGGAAAGGTAATATTACATAATCTAAAAGTGTAGAAAAAGTTTTGTGTATGACAAAACAGTCATTTAATACTGATATACTTTACATATTGCTTCAGTACCTACAAGTAATTCATAGCAGCCACTCTTAGAAGACCACAAGTAATAAAGATGTATGAAACTCCATGCAATTTTTTAGAGAAACACCAGTTGGGGCCCCAGCCTCCAACAGTCTTGCACAAAATGCACAACTGAAAGAAATAGGAGCTGTGTGTGACCAGCTCCTCAAAATATTCTGCTTCCATAAACCAATAGAAGCTTTCCTGTGCAAGTGATGATGATGAAGCAAAGAGAGTGGGTGGCATGACTGCCAATGTTGTAACAAGGGACAATTCACCAATCACCCACCCACAATCAGTGCTGATTCGCAACTGACAAGTAGGAATTGTGATGGTGAACAACAATAGTGAAGAGCAAATGGGTTCAGTTCACAAATAATTTTTCAAATCTTGCAAAAAGTGTGCAAATATTGTGCTGAATCACATTGAAAACTATGGGGAGTGAATCTGATTATTCAATTCTAGCACTTTGTATGACTAATAAGAAAGCTAAAGTCAAAAAAGCCATGGTAAGATTGGCACCACTATGGGGGACATGACCCATGCCAAAATTAAATAAATAGATCATTTTAAAAAACAGTATTTTCCCCTACTTATACTGTCACTAACCACTCTGACATACCCTGACAATTTATGAAAAGAGGACTGGGTTATCTCTTCCTTCAAATTATTGCCTCTTGTGACTCAGCTGACCAGCGGCAAAAGCTTTTGATAGCAAATTTTTCTGCCAAATGTTTGCACTTTACAAACTTTGAAAATCCCAGGTTTGAACTGTAAACCCATGGTAGTGGCAGAACCCAAGCCTCATACCTAGCAACCAACCTATCCTGGAATATTTCATGTACAGTCAGGAACTGAAACAGGCAGAATCGGCTTGATTTTAATAGAAAAAAAGTAGCAGTTTACCCTGCAGACTATGCTATTGCATTTCTAGTAGATACGTTTCCTGATGGAGTTTGTTTTCTTCCTTTTTTCCAGATGAAGAGGCTGTTGCAACCTACAAATCTCCCTGCAGCTCTGGTATTAAGCAAACAAAAAATAAATAAAATACATTATTAAATAATAAGAAAAGTAAGTATTGATATTATAGTATTAATATCAAAGTGTATGGAAAGGCATTTGTTTAATTCTGCATAGAATACGGATGGGATAGAACCTTCTGTTAGGATTTTATTGCTGTCTGTGTTCCTACTGGGGAGAGTCAGTCCTCTACTTGTCTTAGTGACCATTGTCACTGAAACATAAAGTAATTGAAAATCCTTTTATTATATATATATTATTATTTTTATTCACTTGCTGAACTTGCTAAAAATTTGAATTCTTTAGAGAAGTAAATTCCTTAACACAGCCCCTCCCTCCTGTTACATTAAAGCCCTCTTCTCTTCTAAAGCCCCCATAAACAGAGAGATTTTCTTTCCTGCAACCAGGGTCCCTCCCTCCCACTTAGCCATTCTATTTTTCCTGGTAGGGGGGGGGGGATAGGGAGAACAAAGTGATTACTGTTATTGGCTATAATAGCCACTAGTAATAACTGCTCCTGTGGAGCCATTGTGGTTACTGCTAGCAGCTATAATAGCCACTAATCGCATGTAAAATCCAACAGTGAATTAACTGTTGCTGAACCGGCTGAGATTCAAACCCTCAATGACCAACTTAAAGCCACACTATGCAAAATCAGGATGACCGATTGTTCAATTTTCTATGAAAGTGCATATTATGATGTAGTCTGAATGGTACTGACTTGTACAAAAATTCTTGGCCAACAAAGGCAAATGTAAGCAAACTCGAGTGTTGCAGAAATATTCAGAACATCGCCACAATCTTTACCAACCAAAAATAATAGCACAGCTGCCAACTGATGTATACATCAACTGGAAATATTTATGTTTTAGAGGAAGCACTATTGCAGCAAAAAATGTGAAAATATGTGCAGTCTATGTGCAATCAATCCTAGTGAGATCTATATCAGAGGTGAAAAAAAAATATATAACACATCTATAAAAGTATCAAGTGCATATACATTCCTCATGTAAAACATATATCACAGTGCAATATATGCAATAGAATGCATCATATATACCAAAGTGTCAAGTGCATATACGTATATATTCATCACATAATAAACATGTGTAACAAATAACAAAATATGTGAAAAACATTTCTGTAAATGAAAATATGTTTCAAAAAGTTCCAAAATAAATATACTCCAAAAAGTTCTAAATGAGTAATATAAAATTTTCAGGTTAGAAACATCTCTGATGATTCACATCTGAAATTTTTTTGTTCCCTCCCATCATGAATGGGAACCTCTACTGTAGATTTTAGGCAACTTTGTCTTACAAACTATTTATAAATGTAATGATGATACTCTCTTATCTTGTATTTTATTCTAGTTAAAAGAGAATCAAGATAAATGTTCTATAGAAGCAACTGCAAGCTTCTTGAAAACAATGCATTTCCAATTATGTAATAAATATTATGCCCAAGCTTGTGTGTATTCTTAAAAAAATAAAATAATTATAGTTGAATGCCATAATGTGACTTCATCTTTGGGTTCTGGATGTCATTATTTACAGCCCTTGTCCACATCAGTGGGTTCTTGACAAGGGAAGACTGGGAAGCTTTGGCCTTGGGGGTAAACACAACTAACCAGCACTTTTTATGGTAGAAACAGTTTTTTGTGGTATAAAGAACATTTAGCATTAAAAACATGCCATGGTACAGCATTGACTGGTAGACATGGTCAAACGTGGGCGTACCTAAAACACATAGTTTATTGTAATATGCTTTCACATCTTTTAACATCTACTTCCTTTGCAGCTCTCAACATTTATTCACATGAAACTTTAGATGCAAAAAGAAAGTTGGAGTTGAACACTTTCTATTACAAGATTCTGTAGTCACAGATCTGAGTGGAGAACAGGTAGCTAAATATCAATGCACACCATGTGTCACTGACTATGGGTTCTGCTGCCTTTTAGTACTGGAAATACCTCCCTGTTAACCCCACACCAAACCCTTTCCCTCAGCCCAGTCCTTCCCTGATTGTGGATACCATCATTTACATTCATGGATTTTGGATAATGCCCAGAGTTGTAGGTTCTTGCTGCCTATCATCCAAAGTAATTTATTCTAATTGTCCTGGAACCTTCATGCAAACTGGTCTAATAGCAGAAAAGATAGATACATTTGAAGGGGGTAGTTGACACAGATGTAAGTGTGTGCACATCTGGAAAGGATGTAGAGAAATCTGAAGTGATTCCTTTAAGGAATAAAAATGGCCCCCTCTGATGAACCGATCCCAGCTTTAGTTAGTTTTTGGTAAGTTGATATAGGTTGAAAAAATCTTCCTCTTGGCCCACAAATCTTTCATAGCAAACTAGTACCAAGAAGTTGGGTACACAGTTCTCTCTAGATGGTACAGGGTACCTTATGTAAAATGGATGGTACACTCCCAGACACGTGTTGGAGGTGCAAGGTGGAGGCGGGCACTATATCCCATATTTTTTGGTCCTGCCCCATGTTAAGGCCTTTTTGGGAGGAGGTGACGGCAGCCATAAAACATTTGACCTCGGCTGATCTGAAAAGAAATCCAGCTGCATGCTTACTCCACCTGACAGAGAGACCCCTCCAGAAATATAGGTAAACTCTTACCATGCAGTTGTTTATCACAACAAAGGCTTGCATCCCAGCTTTACTCCAAAATCAATGATATTCACTATATGGAAGAATTAACAGCAACACTCCACAATTCTGAAGAACAATTTAGAGACAAATAGGGGCCCTGGAGATACTTTTATGTGTACGAAAGCCTACCGACAGGATATTGCCCGTACTGAGTCCACTTAAGCTGAACCATTTAGTAGCCAAGATTCTGCTTATGGGTCTCCTGTCACATTACCCTTTTGGAGTGTGACCCGCATGTTCATGGTATATCCCCCCCTTTTTCTTATGCTCCCTCTTTCCTTTTCCTCAGTCTCCCCTTTATTAACCATTTTCTTCTGAGAAGTCAACCGTTAATTTTGCATCATAGAAGTCATGAGTCACATGATAATATGGTTGTGAAGATTAAGTGTTAGAGTTGTCAGCATACATTTTTTCTATTTATGCATTAGTTCAGTTCCATATGTTTCAATGCAATTGACAGAGTCTGGTACTATTGCTCATGGGCCTTTTGGCCCCATTGTCCTGTTGCATAATATCTGTAGTACATGTAAAGCTGTAGATATACAGTGGGGCAAAAAAGTATTTAGTCAGCCACCAATTGTGCAAGTTCTCCCACTTAAAAAGATGAGAGAGGCCTGTAATTGGCATCATAGGTAGACCTCAACTATGAGAGACAAAATGAGAAAAAAAATCCTGACAATCACATTGGCTGATTTGGAAAGAATTTATTTGCAAATGGTGGAAAATAAGTATTTGGTCAATATCAAAAGTTCATCTCAATACTTTGTTATATATCTTTGTTGGCAATGACAGAGGTTTTCCTGTAAGTCTTCACAAGGTTGGCACACACTGTTGCTGGTATGTTGGCCCATTCCTCCATGCAGATTGGCAAGACTTTATGTGATGACTTGACTTGATGTATCTTGGAAGCTTTGCCATTAGAAAATTATTTTAAAAAAAAGAAAATAAGAACAAAGTGCATGGAGGAAAAAAATCAGCTGGGCAGAAAGAAAGATAGTGGTTATCTAAGGTAGAGAAAACTGTAAAAGACAGAGATAAACCAATTATGGTATTAGATAGAGGCAAAGATAGGAAACCAGTAAGGCAGTACACATATCCCACCCTAAATCGGACACTGCTATTCTTCACCTGCACTGACTGACCAGAAATTTGGACACCTCTGTACCCTGCCAGCACTACCTGACCTGTCTTGTTCTATTCCACTATTGCCACCACTGATGGGCATGTATTCAGCACCTCTATACTCCGTCAGCACTTGCTGACCCGATACTGTTACTGCTGCAGTTGGATATGAGGTGATCTATGGGTGCTACTCCTGCATCCCTGGGGAAGTATACACTAGTCATAAATAAAACCTGGGACTTTTTAGGCATGCATATTACAGTGCAACATATTACAAAATATATTTTATTGGTTATATTAAGGCTGCATTCACACCTGAGCAATGCGCATTTGAAGTGTTACTAAACCCAGGACCCTGTATTCACTATATCTGGCCTGCCACAGTACACAAAATATGGAAGTGCAATTATTTTAGTAAATATAAACTGCTAAATACCTTTTCTCATCAGTAGTATATAGCAGTCTTGTGACTTCTATCAGTGTCTAGCTGAGCACTGGTAAAGCTTGTAGGAGGAGTTTTATTTCTCCTTTGACTGCCCTGCGAGGCTGCATAACCCCTGACCCTTTGTCTGGACAGTGCTGATTGGCCCTGTGCTGATCACATGAACCCTCCCAAAAAAAAAAAAAGAAAGAACTTTTGTAGCCTTACACACTAAACTGAGCATGTGCAGAGTGATTGCAAAGACTCTCTTATCAGGAGATGAGTTGCCACAAGGGGGCACCCACCCTCCTAAGTGGTTAGCACTCCTGCCTAGCAGTACTAGGGTTCCAACCACAACACCACCTGTCCTTTAGTTTGCATGTTCTCCCTGTGCCTGTATGAGTTTCCTCCGGGTACTCCAGTTTTCTCCCACAATCTAAAGACATGCTGGTAGGTTAATTTGCTCCTGTCTAATTTGGCCCTAGTATGTGTATGAATGGGAGTTAGAGACCTTAGATTGTACACTCCTTGAGGGCAAAGACTGGTGTGAATGTAAATATGCAAAGCGCTGCATAAATTGACAGTGCTATATAAATATGTAATAGATAATAAAATACATTATTAAATTCAGGCCATTTTTAGAGCTAGTAGGCAACATCTACTGCCAAAAAATAGCACAGGAAACTGGGCGTTGCTATGGAGAACATGTACCAACACAGACAAAAGTACAATACAGCAGGGAGAGGCTTTTCAGGCTTTTAAGGCAATATTAAAAAATACACAAATCTTTTAAATATCTTGCTTGGGGGATGCCGT